TAATGTCCCTCAATATCTTGGTCGACATTTCTTGTAACCCTGTATAGAAAGTACAAATCTGTCACTGAACAATAATGTCCCTTCAATATCTTGGTCGACATTTCTTGTAACCCTGTATAGAAAATACAAATGTGTCACTGAACAATAATGTCCCTCAATATCTTGGTCAACATTTCCTATAACCATGTATAAAAGGGTACAAATAATAAGTTACAACCGCAAAGTTAACTCTCTATCTCTCTCTCTGTCTCTTTCTATCACAATTGCGCTAGCTACAACACTGTGAAAAGCTTTTATTCTTATCGACATCTCTAAGTCAACGTTAGGAAATGGTCGTAGTTACTCTCATAAATTCTTGATTGACTTCGAATTGTTTGAAATTCAAATAATATATTTAATTACACTTTTCAACATCAACAATCCATTTTCTTGTAGTTAAAACGGCAGACGCCATTTCTGTGCTAAATATAATATATCACAATATTTTTTACACAACCAACAGAAAACCTACAAGCCGTTTCTTATATACCATCCCTAGTAAGTGATGCTAATATAATAATTTAGAAATTGTTAACTTATATCTATTAACGGGATTGTTGCCATGTACCTTGTTCTTCATGAGTCCCCGATATTTCGACACTGTTGCAAGTGCCATGATCACGGACGATCACGTAACGTATACGCCACTTACTCCGTGATCATGGCGCTTGAAACAGTGCAGAAATATCGAAGACTCATAAAATGGTAACAGCCCCGTTAATAGCTATAATGTTAGTAACCATTAAAGTTTAAAACAATATATTATTATAACTTATGTTTAATAAACAAAAATATCAATACGAACTATCTACGAAAAAATGAAATTCTGAATGAACTTGAACTTTTTAAATTTGACATCAGTCTGTCCTTTTCATTCCTTATAAAGCATGATAAGAATAGAATATAATAGAATTTATTTATCTCAAAAACATGCAATACTACATGATATGAAAATAATATTTGTGACAAATACAAGAATTATTGCGAGCAGGCACTTCAAATGGGAAAACCTGTGCTATAGGTACCTGCAATGCTCACAACAAGAACTCAATTAACTAATATAAACTAGTTTGAATTAAAAATACATTTGAACATAAAATACTCGACTAAACACGCACGCGTGCAAAGTGTTTGTCTGTGTGTGTGTGTGTTGTTGTGTGTCGTGTTGTGTTGTGTGTGCGTGTGTGTGTGAGAACAGACTGTTGTCAAGTTTACAAATAGCAAATACAAAGTGAAGTGCCACGATGCCGGCATGACAGGTCGGGTCAGTACCTTATGACGACTGGATTAGAGTTTAATTCGAACCAATTTTTACTAGATGGAACCCTAAAATTATTCCGTTAACATAAGGAACTGACCCGACCTGTCAAGATCGTATCCTTACGTTGGCCGCACTGCTTTTTTTGTTCTTTGAGCGTGTATGCTGTTGGTCGCAGATGACCTTTACAGCGTCACCGGGTTTGGGGACGGTGAGATCCTAAAGGGACCTCAAGCCGAGAATTGGCGAGTGCTTCTAGAGATATTTCAGGCGGATGGCATCTCACCACGGGTGGAGTCTCCTCTCCGTCTGGAACCTCTAGACCACTCTAGCCTGAGGGGGTCGGCTCAACTAGAGGGCGTCTCTGAGACTCGGACCTCGGCTCTAGTTAGCCGTTGTCGTGGGGGCCGCACTGTAATCTCTGATAAGCTTATTCTTAACCAGATATAAGGTTACTGAAAACGGCCACTTATTTAATCACAAAACAAAATTAAGGAATGCTTGATTGCACATTTATGCTTAATTTAGAGCAAGACTTTTCTCGACACTTCATACACTTTCGTTCCATTAGCCAGAGACTCAAACGAACGTTTACAGCTCCTTAATCGTGTCGCATCGTTAAAGTTTCTATGAAAACTAAGCAGCGCCTCTACCGGAAGTAAGAACAAACTGGCGCCTTCCATACAAAATTTGACGATGACGATATGATTACGGATAAGGCTGTAATTTTACTGAAATTTCTCATAATTATTTTAAACTAATATACAAAAATACTAAGTGATTTAAATCGAAGGCAAAATTTAATCTATCTTTTTACTTCTGTCGAGAATAATCAAGGCCCATCACAAACAACCGCCTTTAAAAATTCGCGACATTATCTTTAACTGTTAGTACAAACTATGTCATTTTTCATTAAAAAACAAAAACACACATTTAATAAGGTATAAAATATACACCCTGGCAAACTTCTTGTAGATCGACCATAGACAAGGATGCGCAGTAGCAATTTTACATACAAAAACTCTACTGCGCAAGTATATTTATTTGTCTGTGGTTTTGCTCAAAAAGTTTGGTACTACATTTACATACATGAAAGTAAAAAAATATATATTCAGATTGGTAACGTCATATGACTTTTATTTTGGACATCAACATACCATCCTACCACCAGTCCAGGACTCCTTTTATTAATAACAAAAAATATAGAATAACATAAATATACCAAAGGTAATTCGTTGCAAAACAAATACACTTATTAAATGCCAAAACTCGCTAAATCGATCTATCATTCAGATAAATGGCAAATATTTTAAGATAATGTTAAACAAAAAACTAAAAAAAGTCTTGTCATTATATGACTCGTCTTCGACGCATACACAGCTTTAATCACAAAGTAATACCTTATAACATAAAATGTAACTACGTGCAAAGGGTCCTAAATATCCTTTTTTAAGTGAAACTTCATTTCGGACGGAGTGTAAATGGAAAAATCCTATGGAAAAGAAGAAACGGATTTGCGTCACGAGCGTCACACGACTACATACATATATTTATATGTGTGCGTGTGCGCAGCTCTTCCCGACGAGCATGAAAGTAGGAGGATCACTCGGCGAAGGCAGAAACGCTACGAGCGTCACACTCGACAATAAATATACCACTCTGTGCAAAAAGTATCGGGAATATGTCAATTTAAAGACCTGCGTAAAAGAAATCGTTTTAATTTTTTTACTGCATTTTGGTAGCATTTGATTCACCGCACAAAATTTGATGGGGTTCTGTCATTTAATTTGTTTCAAACTACACCGTTTGTTGGTCATAGTAGGGGTGATGACGGGGTTCAGTAAACGAAATTCTATTTAGTCCGTCAGTTAGATGATCAAAAAATAATGGACACGTATTTTTTCTTTGGGCAATCAACTAAAAAATGACAAAGTTATAGCGCGTCACAGTTCGTCACTAATTACAGGACCTTCAGCCATCTGGTTAAACGTTGCGCTAGGCTAGGCCGTTAACTTAATTCCTGATTAAGTTAATCGGCTGCATTTATTTATTAACTGATTCGTCATGAAGTACTCCACCAAAAAAAAATGTTTAAACCACTGTAAATGGGCCGAGGAGCTCGATGGCGCAAGTGGTTAGCGCGTTCGGCTGCGATCGTTGAAGTTAAGCAACTTTCGCGGTGGTCAGTCATTGGATGGGTGACCAAAAATTACTATCTCGAGTTCCTCCGTGTTTCGGAAGGCACGTTAAGTCGTTGGTCCCCGTAAGCACCCGCCAATCCGCAGTGGGCCTGCGTGGTGGGTCATGGCCCAATCTCCTTATTACATCCATAGGGAAGGCCTGTGCCCCAACAGTGGGGACATAAATAGGCTGATGATGAAGATGATGAATAAGTTTTGGGTCGATAGAAGCCATAAAAGAAATTTCACTGAATGAGCTAAAGGCTATACCGCAAGTAGACTACGAAAAATGTATGAAGGACTGGGTGTATGTACGAAGCGATGGAGATGTTGTATTGCGAGCAATGGGGCCTACTTTGAAGGCGATAAATTAAATTTAGATAATTTGTATTTTTTTTTGGTCAATTTGTCCCTATTGGGACGGGCAAAGGATTGTGAGTCCATACAGCTCTGTTTGTTAACTTTTCTTTCTTAAAGTGTTTTGATTGTAGCTTTTACAAATTTGTATAAAGGAATGTAGGTGTCTTTATTTTGTAAAAGTTTTCTCAAGTCGCGCGGGATGGTTTCTTCGGCAAAAGTACTTCGAAGGTGTTGAAGCAGCAAATTTCTCTGTACTTGAAATGAACCGCAAAAGGAAAAGATATGGTCCAGGGACTGATTATCTATGTTGCAGAAGTTACATGTATTTTTTTTTATTAATTGAAAAATTCCCGATACTAAGTACACAGAATGTACACATATATGAGTGATGGGTGCGCTGCTCCATTCCCCTATGCCTTATGCACCGGCTAATTTTAAGTTATTTTAGGGTGAGGCCAAACGAGCGTAATTTTGTGAGTGGTGAGTCGCAGAATTTCGGTCGCAGAAATTCTGCTGCATTCGGTTTCATACAAAAAGGCAGTTGGTGCCACACGACAACGCAAAATGAGTTGTCTGCCGACTCAATGCGCATAAGCTCGTCCGAATTTCGGTCGGGGTGAGGGTAGGGAGTGGGGAAGCAACAGTTTGTTACATGTTGCGTGGTGTAATAATTCTTGAAAAACACGTAATGGCATATGATCGTACTTTTCAAACATATCTGGATTTGCACATAACGTTCATATAAATTATGGAACTGTCCACATATCAGCCTCTGACTATTCAGTGGGTTTACCCAGTTTCTTTTTCTGGCCTCATCTTCTGAATATGCTTCGTAAATACACAATATTTTTAACGGATCCATTGCACTCGACGACACGAACACCCCGTACTAACGCTCAATAGTAACTGAATAAATTACTTTCGTATGGCAGCTCAACAGAAAATCAGTTGAACGTAAAATAAGTGACCGAAAATAAGCGACTCACAACTCACAAAATTACGCTCGTTTGGCTTCACCCTTAATAAAATTTTAAGTTTAAAAAAAAAGTTTCACTTCATATGTGTGGTCCGTGCACACTATTTCTTTTTACCGCAAACTACCAACTTCGCTACCACTCACCATAGTGACCAGACCATTTTAATCTATATCCAAGTTCTTGAACGCCTTCTCCATAGCCTTGTCTCTTTTCTTATCTGGTAACGCCGCGATTCTTTGCTCCTCTTCTGCCACGAAGTATTCTTGCATTGCCTGGAGATGGTGCATACATTTCTTGTGCAAAGTCTGGGTGTCCGGTGCTGAGCCGCCGTTGTCTGAAGGCACTACCGACCTGGGTATGACTGTGGCGAAGAACTTGTCCATGTCTTCGTCCTTGTGGTGGAAGTTTAGCTGTGAATGGAGGTTTTAGCATTGTTAAATTAAATATGTATTAAAATTTATTAAAAGAAGTTGTACGGTGTATGTGGTATAACCTTGTACGGGGTGTGTAACTATGTTGTTTTATCGAAAGAAAGGTTTTACTAGTAAAAAATCCACTTGGACCAGGCAGCGGACGGGACTCGAACCCGCACCCTTCGCAATCCGGGCGAATGCAATGACCAATTATGCTACCACGGCCCTGATGGCCGCGTCGAAATTTTCCTAGCCTTAAGCTGCAAGGAGCTTAAGGCTAGGAAAATTTCACAGCGCCATCACTTCGCATTGTCTGTCTTATTAACATATAAAAAAATCAGCGAGCGTTTTAAACAGACGATGCCGCTTGTAAAACGCGGAATCATACAAATTGTCTGCTGCATTCAAAGCACTCGCATCACGGGCGGTTTTAATACGAATAAATTCAAATTCACTGTCGTTTATTCAGTTTAAAGCACTTGTAAGATCGAGAATCTATGCCATCGGTTTGCAAATCTGAGGCGGAAAACCTCGCACTCAGAAGAACCAAAATAGATTGCTAAATCCCAACGAATTAGAAATAATATGGAAGCATTACTTATTCTCTAACGAAAGCCGCTAAAACATGGTCCCACACTCATGCAACTAAACTTCAATACTAACACGACACACACACAGATAAAATCAAAATTTATATTTTATTGCTTCGTTATATTATTATTGTATTCATGTTGTTTTACATACATGTCGTGTGATATCTTAATTAATTATATAATAATAATAATAATTTATTTCCAGTAAGAGTTGATTTACAATTTAACTTATAAGGCTAAAACAGTAAGCTAATGTCTCTAACATAACTACATATGTATTCAGGCCGGCGCGGCATCGCAATTGTGATACTCTTGGTGTTGCAAGTGTCCATGGGTGACGGTGATCACTTACCATCAGGTGAGCCGTCAGCTCGTATGCCCTCTATCTGCTGCCGAGCTAGGCAAAATGCCTGTATTACGGCATACAGCGCCAATCCCCTTAGCACCATAAATTAATAAACAAATAGACAGAAATGAAATTATTGTTGCAAACATCTTTGAATGTACTAGGTATATAGGTAGACCTAAAAATGTTACGTAAGTTAATATGTTACCAGGAAAAGTGTAATTGGCATTAGTTTAAGAAAATATTATAAATGTAACTAGAAATAAGACAATGCTGTAGATTTCCTGAAATAAATTTAACAAACTGCAAATGATTTCGGCTATCCATTCATTGGGTAATATAATGTTAAATGGAAATCATTATCAATCCCTTTATCGGCGTGTTGATCGCAGTTGTTGCACCCCGCGATTTGCGTGGAACCACTTTTTAGCACAAATTGTATAGCATCTCTTATCTATTAGACAAGTCCGTCCGTCCGTCTGTGGTGCTGTTTCAGCGGCCAAACCGTAAGAGATAGATAAAGAGAATATTTAAGTTATAAGTTAAGAATAGTCTGATAAGACTACAAACCGGATTTGAGTAACGTAGCACTTCCGGTTTTCGAGAAATCACGAATTTCAAACTTTAACCACACAAAATCTCCGAAGTTCTCAATTAATTGAACATTTGGTTCACTGGTTTGCTAGTATCATTTCTAATTCGTTGCTGCATTCTCACCATGTCATAGAACTTCTTCTCCATGAAGGGTTTGATGACGAGCAGCAGTTTGTCCAGAATCGGCTCGGTGTTCAGCACGTGAATCGCACGCATGCGCACCGGCATGGCCTCCTGGATGTACGTGAAGAACTTACGGAACCCTCTGCGGAGACACCGGTATAAAACATTATGGTTTACTGCTTACTAGTTTGCGTTTTTACCATATTTTACAATGGACGCAAGGGTTAATATCGATAATAGCCTGCGCAGACGAAGTAGTTTTGTTCGCCAATAATCTATCGATATCGATAAATAGATCGCTTACAACTGCATAGAGTAACGCACACGATGGATACGGTACTTTTAGTACCGCGTTCAAAAAGTCCCCCCGAACAACCGAAGATACCACAGAATACAGAAAGAGGTTAGAAGGTTTTTTTTCTCCTTCCAGGCGGGGGAGCGGGTGAGAAATTCTCATGGAGGGCCGGCGGACGGTATGTCAGACTCGTACTGACTAAAAAACACCCGGCCTCTAAGGCTTCATCGGAAGCGATCGTGGGGTAGAGGGAGCGACGCAGCGCTGCCTTAGTTAAACACTAGAGCATATGCGCGAGAAGGACGGTGCGGCCACCTAGTGAGGCACGCCCGTATCGGACAGAAGGGATGCAGAGGGCCGCTCGTGAGTGCAGAGGGCCACTTAGAGAGGGCAGGGGGTTAGAAGATTGAAAATAGACCATTTATGGGAACCAATGTCGCCGGCTCACCCCCACTCTACTTCCACCTAATAGGTAATAGCCAATCATACGACGCGACATCAAACCATCGAACCAATCAGCGCTCACACCCGAGAGCAACGACGCAATCAGAACCAAGTTTCAAACTCAAACTCATTTATTCAGTCTAGGCTGTTACAAGCTCTTGTGAAAGTCAAACGCTACGCCATCGGTTCGTAAATCTACGGACGGACTGAGAAGAACCGGCAAGAAACTCAGTAAGGGCTATTTTTTCTCCTTGTTTTGTTTCAAACAGTGTCGTCAATTGAAAGATGACATCAAAAATTTGAAAACATGTGTTGATGTCAACTTCCATCACGTTTGGGTCAAATCATGAACATTTGTTCGCACAACTGTGGCGCACCTGCCCCGTCCACACTTCTCTTTCTGTGTTCTGTGGAAGACACCGACAAAACTAGGCGCACACACACAGTGAACTTCAGTCTGTGTTGCGCGCTCGATCGGAATTTAAGAAACGGGCCGCGTGTTCTCTTTTAAAACATCTATCTACCCTTTTTCTGAAAATTCATGTTAATTACAACACAACGTAATCTTGAGAATATTTACTTCCATAGCGTGCGATGTTCTTAATTTTCGGAAGACAAATGTTCGCACATCGTGTGCGTGAGTCCGTGACAACTATTCGTCATTTTTAGAATCACTAGCTATAAACATGAACATGTGATTCTAGTTAAATCCAGAGGAATTATTTGAGTTTATGAAGAAGATAAGGCCAAAGAACAATGTCCTAAGAACCAACACCAATTTGGTATTTAAGATAATTCTTAGTGTATTTTTTGCGATATATAGATAGTATTTAGATTGTGACGGACACTTCCAGTTAAGTAAGCTATATTAAAAAGTTAAAAAATAATCTGAGACAATAAAACTGCTATTTTATGTGTATAATCTATGACAGCGTTGCAAACAAAACACTCTTTCTTCCTAATGCCGGCACTTCACTTGGCTATTTGTGTTTGCTATTTGAAAACTTGATATCAGTCTGTCCTTTTCATTCCTTATTAAGCATGACAAGGACAGAGTTTTGTCAAGTGAAGGACCGGAATATAAACTCGATACTCTGTGGTCGTGGTGCAGGCAGTTTGCATTCGTAGTAATCTGTGGCATTCGTGCATTCTCATTTCGGATTTCCGGTTACTATAATTTGGTACTTAAGTTGGGCTAGATATCAAGAAAATGTCAACCCCCTGCTCAATTCTTAGATGATATTTTAGTAAAAAATATATATGATATTGCATAAAAGATACCTACTTATATTATGTGAAAAATAGTCAATAAATAAGAAGCAAAACTACAGTTTTTATTTCATTCATGATTCTTATCTAACCAAGTTTTTCCTAATAATTATTCTTTAAAATCGCACGCACAATAAAAATTAATTACTTGTAATATCATCAATATATCTAGCATCCCATAACACAAGCCTTACAGTGCTTACTTTAAGGCTAGACTAATTGGTGTGTTAAAAAAAAGTCACTTCATACTGAGTTCATACTAAGTTCATAGGTTGACCTATGTTTCATTTAATATTAAACATAACCTCAAAAAATATTTAGTTATCCTAATAATTTAAGTTCTCAGAAGTGTCCGTCAATAATCTTTGTTTTTACAGTCTATTACTTGCAATTTCGAACCTAGAAAATAATATTTCATGATTGTTGGTTCTTAGGCTAACAATGTATGGACGCAGAACAATGTCAATGAAATTAAATAAATTTTATAATTTTAAAACGCTCAGACCACCACTTGAAACACACGTCCTACCAGCGCAGGCGCTTTCGCTTCGCGTTTATACGACAACATTATAGTAGTTTTGTCCAAAAATCGTGCAACGTCGTGAAATCGATGATCCATTCTAAAACTTGACTAGATGGCACTAGTTTTTTCGAAAATCATTCAGTGTCATGAAATCGATGCATGCATTTAAAAATTTGATGTGAAAATGTCACGGAACTACTTGCATGTAGTGGCATGCAACTTTCGTAATGTTAATTCGGCTTCATTGTATACCATTGATAAATTCGTTGACATCTTAGCCAAACAACTGGAATGTACCTATGATACCATCACCGTGGTCAAACTAAAATTAAGCTGTAATTTTTTTTTTAAATAAAAATTACAGCTTGATGTTTAAATCTAAAGATAATATGACTAGAAAAAAATCCACGCGGACCAAGCAGCAGATGGGACTCGAACCCGCACCCTTCGCAATCCGGGCGAATGCACTGACGAGTGAGGGCCGCGGTAGCATAATTGGTCAGTGCATTCGCCCGGATTGCGAAGGGTGCGGGTTCGAGTCCCGTCTGCTGCCTGGTCCGCGTGGATTTTTTTCTAGTCATATTTTCTTTAGAATTAAAATTAAGCTGTTAAGCTGTATGGGAACAAAACAACGTAGGTATATAATACGTAACATAAGTAAGTACCTATGTCAACAACCAACTCGGGTTACTTACACAAATAAATGCCGCTACCGGAATTCAAACCCAGGTCTACCAGATCCGCCGTTACGTCAAAGAGCTAGTCAGAAAGGTCAACGCGAACACATTTGACGTAAGAACGGTCATAATAAGTAAATGTGCAATTTATTAACCCAATAAATAATGTCGCGAAACCTGTCCCACGCACAACTATGACGACAATTTATAGTAATTAACTTCATAAAAATTCTTTTTGGTGTTTCGAACTCGCAAACAATTTATAAGGATAACCAGTCAAAGGAAAAAGCCAACGAACTTTTATTTAAGGAAGCGGAAAGTATAAGGCCTATAAGGTTGTTTAAAAAGTTGCCACACTTTACAATAAGTATAAGAATATTTTTTTGGCGGTCATCTGATAATTTCTTAGTAAGACCATGCCGCGTAGTGCTCGATTTCCTTTGGCTATCCCCTAAATATATCCCTTTAGCAAATTTTAACCCAATATCGAAATATTCTGCCTGCTGAGTTCTGTTTCTGGGTATCTGACTTCCTGCATGAACGTAGAATTCGTGTCCTTAGTTCCTTACGGATGGGAGTAGTTCGCGGTTTATGACAGTGAATGCCAAAAACGGCCACGAATGGTGTTCCTCAGGGCTCCACCCTATCCCCCACACTCTTTCTGCTGCATGTCAATGATTTCATTCCTCTACGGAATATTAATTGTAATGCAGACGATAGTATGCGATGCGATAGAGTGCATGCGGGATATTATAGACACGTAGCCGCTGGACAGGTACAAACTAATGAGAAACCGGATAATCTTGTCATTGAACTCAATCAGGATTTGGACCGCAATTTCCGAATGGGGAACAGAGAACTTGATTCAGTTCAATACTAAGAAAATCCAGGTCTACTCTTACGGCAGAGACGTGGTCATTCCTTCACCTTCCTGCCTTGAGGCATTAAAATTAAATTTACTTATGTCAATTAAATTATAAAAAATGTACTCCCAATGTTATTCCTATAGTTACGCCTTAATCCTAATACTAGTGTTCTTACAATAATGTCAAGGAAGAATGATAAGTGATATATTTTTAATAGATACCTACAAAAAGTTGAGAACTATTTTTGTCTGCATTCGTTAATTATAACAAGTTTTTTTTTTGTTTAGAAATTATGAATAATTAGTAGGTAATAAAAATATGGCACGACAAAGGAAAATGATTGCAACTAATAACACATGATTGATGTATCAACATTAAATGATTGCGCGTCTTTTACCTTTGTTTGTCCTTTTGAAAGCTACAAAACATATTAAAAAGAAATTATTTTGTGCAATTAAAATGTACTTATAATGGGGAAACACAAAAAATTGCAATATTGGAACGACACGACACAAATGGACAACATTAGTTTGAAAAACATTCAAAACTATGGTGGCAATGGCAACACTTATTAGTGCTTGCTTGCTGTGTTAACAGAGGTAAAAAAGACGGCAACATTGGTAGAAACACAATTCCACCACAAATATTCAAATTCAAAGTAGTCAACATCTATAAGTATACAGTGATTTTTCAAATGAACAGGATTTTTGTGTACATACGATAATCCACAGCGTGCAATATGGCCCAGTTTCACCCCCCTCATGTCGAATAGGAAAATCAGGCCCGACTGTGGTCCCCTCTTGCTCAGGTACATGTCTGAAACATAATAATTTTAAAATTCAACAACAGAACGGTAATTCTTTTTCCTGATATTGGCAACACCTTTTACTTGAAATATTTTTTCTTTGTATCATCTAAAGTGATCTAAAGTGGCTGACATACATGCGGCCGGCCTAATAGTAAATCTCATTGGTCACGCACGCCCAACTAGAGAACGTCTTTACCGTTTTCATCCAATTTTTTTCTAAGTTTTATAATAAAATAACATATAACAAGCTAGTGGAACATTAGAAATTTTAAGAAAACTTATGTAAATACTCCACTCGATAAGCGGTGCGGTATATAGTTAAAAGCAGTTTTTCATTTGACTGTACTTTCCTGACATTAAAAATGAAGATAGGAACTTAGATCATATTTGTGGTCCCAACATACCACTTAAAATAATTATTAAATTTTGGTGGCCATTTTGGCATTTGGGACCACAATTTCGGTCCCGAATGCCAAAATCATTTATTTTATTCCATGTCCCCATCAGGATCATCGGTCAAGGTCTCAAATGACTACCGACTCATGGTGTTTGAAATGAAAAGCGAATTTTAAAAGATAATTAGAAATTACAAAACTATGTCGGAAAATCATAGATAAATTTTACACGTTTATAAAAAAAATATTTATATATATATAAAACTCAAAGGTGACTGACTGACTTAGTGATCTATCAACGCACAGCCCAGACCACTGGACGGATCGGGCTGAAATTTGGCATGCAGGTTAATGTTATGACGTAGGCATCCGCTAAGAAAGGATTTTGATCAATTCTACCCCCAAGGGGATAAAATAGGGAATAAAAAGTTTGTATGAATCTTTGTCAATTTTACTAAACCGACTGCATGCAGGTATAAGAAGAATCATAGATGAATGTCATTGTGTATAATACAAGCCTGAAAACAACAACTGTAGTCTACACTTCGGCTCTACACCGAAGCGAAGCGAGGGCGGGCCGCTAGTTTCTTATAATATCATAAGTAAGAAACCATTTTTTTTTTTCACATTGAGTGGCGTGCAATTGGAAAGTCCTATGTCCAGCAGTGGACTAGGATAGGCTGTTGTTGAAGTAAGAAACCATCAAACAACCATTAAAGTGAGTACATTACTGCACAGTAAATTTAATTATATGAATGTCATTGAAAAACTCGTAAAAACCAATTCATACAAGTTACCCAGTTAATTATTACTTTAACACGTAGTTACAATATTAAGGCAACATTACACGCAGTTAAATATTTAAATAACGTATCTTCCGCGACACGTCTTGTACAGCGTTGCCAATGCTACCGAGAAAACGGTATTTTAACCGATTTTTTTAACAATCTGCCGATATGTGTTTCCATCGCGGCATAATCTACCGATAAACCTTAACTTTCCGAGACACGATTTTCGCAGCGTTGCCAATGCTGCCGACAAATCGGTATTTAAACCAATTTTTTTACAATCTACCGATACGTCTTTCAATCGCGGCATAATCTACCGATAAACCTTAAATTTCCGTGACTCGTCTTGCGCAGCGTTGCCAATGCTGCCGACAAAACGGTATTTTAACCGATTTTTTTTTTACAATCTACCGATACGTCTTTCAATCGCGGCATAATCTACCGATGAACCTTAACCCCCTTATGAATAAACGAAGAATAAGCTTAGACTAGCTACGCCGTGATTTGTTCATATCACTCAAGTGCCATTTGTCATTCAATGAACAGAGACAAAACATAGAGTAACTAATCCAAACTTAGTCTTCGTTTATTAATAAGGGGGTAAGGTATATTGTTTTAAACTTTCATGGTCACTAACATTATAAATATTAACGGGATTGTTGCCATGTACCTTGTTTTTTATGAGTCTCCGATATTTCGGCACTGATCAGTTACTCTGTGATCATGGCGCTAATAGCAGTGCCGAAATATCGGAGACTCTTAAAAAACAAGGTACAAGGTAACAATCCCGTTAATATCTATAAAGGGGGTAAGGGTCATATTTATCATAAGAACATAGTATATTTATTTATTATCTTTTCCACATTCTTTAGAAAATATACACATGTAAATTTACTAAAAAACGAAAACCCGAAATAAACTTCAACACTGAATTAGTAAAAGCTAATGTACATACAAAATGTCAAATAGTTAAAAAAAATGTGTTTTATTTTGCTTTGGACAGTAAAAGAGATGGTTCAAAAGTGGCAACCGGTTTTCGGCAGCAATCAAACATATATCATTTGAATGTTGTTGTCCGTCCATCCGACTGTCAAGACCGTTTTTCTCAAGAACGCGTGGAGGTATCAAACTGAAATTCATATCTAATACTCAGGTCTACTGTCCCTTGGAGCTGTGAAAAAATCAAACCTAAGCCTAAGCATTTGCACCGTGTCCCTAATGAACTCAAATGAATAAAAATTGGAAAAGTGATGGAGAAAATGATGATGACGATTCAACAATAGAAAAATAAAAGTGTAATGGAAACATCATCATCATCATCAGCCTATTAATGTCCCCACTGCTGGGGCACAGGCCTACCCTATGGATGGAATAGGGAGATTGGCCCATGACCCACCACGCGGGCCCAGTGCGGGTTGGTGAGTGCTAACGACTGCAGATGCAGCCGGGACCAACGGCTTACCGTGCCTTCCGAAGCACGGAGGAGCTCGAGATAGTAAAATTTCGGTCACCCATCCAATGACCGACCACTGCGAAAGTTGCTTAAATTCAACGATCGCAGCGGAACGCGCTAACCACTTGCGCCATCGAGCTCCTCGCATGGAAATCTACCGATGTTTATTTAAATACTACCGATTTTTCTGTAATTTCTAACGAATTCTGCTTAAATAAAACTAGTTTTTACGGGTTAATGCACGAAACTTTATTTATTTATTGAATTCTGCTTCTTCAGCAACACTGGTCATGCGTCACACATTGTGTTTCGTAGGGCAACTGAACACGAAGCACCATGTTTTTGACGTGTAACTTTCCTCTCGATTTCCTGCAATTTGTGGGAGTGCTTTCGTGAAACGGGACGGAAGCATAGTGTATATATTCTGTGACGGAAGTGTGTAACAGGAAGTCGCGAAAGCGCGCGCTATTTGATTTGATTTTAGAACATAATGTTCAAATGGCTTATTCCTTTTGTAGTAGGTTTTATTTCTTTTTTTACTAATATAAGGTGAGGTTTCAAATGTTACACATCATACGCGACTACTGTAAGGCTCGCTCGTTTTTTTTTATTAAAATTGAATGTTGTAGTTTTGTTTCAAATTTTTTTTTTCTTTCTTCATCCCTTGTAAATGGCAAACCAGATACGTCTACATGTACGGTCATCTCGGATGACCTCGGGGCAACTTTTGCGATTATAATAACTTCTTTTATAAAAGAAATAAAATTTATTGTCGGCTGGAAAGTTTCTTAAAAATGGCTATTTAGCGACTCTTGCTACTTGGCGAGGAAACGCTCAACTCGCTCTTCTAAAAAAATTTTTTGAGACTAAGACTAGCTGTTCACATTTCCTAAATATGTAAACATGAAAGTACGATATAATACTTGTCAATAGATACGGAATCCTATTAATGCTTCTATTATATTTGACTAGAAATTCATCATTCATTGCCTATGTCCTTATTTAATACTAGCGGTCGCCCGCGACTTCGTACGAAAGTGGAGTTAGAAATAAAGGTTCACTGCTTGTTCCCCGTAGGTGATAGCGTGATAATATGTAGCCTATATGTTGACCCGTTCCCCTAGCAGGAACTATTATCTAATGCGAATAGTTTGCAAACCGAAATGTCAATGTCAAATTTTGTATGGAAATTTGAACAGCAGCGGCACAAAGTACGTAACGAGGACTAAAAATCAGTACATATTTGACAATGACATTTCGGACTCGCAAACGATACGAATTCGATATTGGTTCGTGCTAAGGGTACCGACTTTTTAATAATATTCGTGCTAAATTTGAAGTAAATCCATGCAGTACTTTTTGAGTTTATCCCGGACATACATACAGCCAAACAGGCAAAAATCCTAAAAAAAACTATATTTTTGGCTTCGGTATCAACTGGAGATCACACAACAATTATTCTTTTAAAAAAATATACAATATTCAATAATGTGAATTTTTTGGAAGCGATTAAACTTTGCCCCAGACTGAAAGTCCAACTTAAAGAACGTGTTTGCTCGAGACGAGTTCTTTCCTTGTCAAGTTTAAGAGAATTGAGATGTGATTGTGCGTTCATGGTTCAAGGGCGGTCAATTTTTGCGAACAAATACGTACTTTTATAAAGTGTCATTTTACTTTCTATATTGAGATGACAAACTGGACAACAAGCAAACAAAAGAGTTTTTATATAAAATTCAATGGGCTAGAAAATATTAACTTCGAAGGTCGAGAAATGGTTGTATTCAACGTTTTTTTTTTATTTCCACTTTAAATTATTTATTTGTTTTTTTACTTATATCTTATACTGATATCTATCATTACAGGTATTTACCCAATGGCAATATATACATCCATTTAAATATTATTTAATTTAAAATTACACATTGGAAAACTAATTAATTGTAACTCATGATCCACTCAGCTAGTTTTGTTAATTCGCTCAGAGCACAAACAAATAAGTCCGCCTTTCATTAATTCTGTTGATTGTACGCAATGCACGCGTCGGTGGAGCATCACTCAATAAAGTGCATACAGTAGAAGTTACCACCAGGTCCAGCCGCCGCCAACCAATTCAATTCAATTCATTTATTCCATTAAACAATATAATTGTGTTGGAAATAATAATAATACAAAATAAAATAAAAGCAGACATAAATAAAATAATAAATTAAATTAAGTAATTATAATTTTTGATGTCAAAGTGGATTATTAAAATTGTAACAAATAAAAAGAAAATATAAATACACTATGTCAAACTGGATAAAATTCATATATACAAAAAAAAACATGTCAACCTAATCCTGTCTCATAAATTCGTCAACACTGTAATAACA